TTCTTCTTAATTTTTATTTCTTCTGTTATGCCTTTAAGTGCCATTTCAGAGAATATTTTTCAACCTCTTTTAAAGCATCATTTGAGAGATAACCCTTATTCAAATAATATTTATATTAAACATTTGGCATGTAAACACTTTGAGTCAAGAATTATGGCTAAAGACATTTCTTTAATTCTAAATATAGACAAGTATTTTCATATAATAATCATCTCCATCGGCTAGTCTCTGTATGACATAATACTATGACACTATGGCATTGTATTTAATTTGCATAGAATTGTGATACAATCGGTGTGTCTACCTTTGTAGCGTGGATTTTGTAGAAGTGGAAATGTTGAGGATATTAAAATTGGTCGGTATGAGGGATGTCCCCTATTTCGGTCACCTTATTTATTTATTTATTTATCTATTTACTATACTTTTAAACAGAGCTCGAAGTCAACTCGAGATTTTCATCGATTATGTATTGTGGGTCGACTTAGGTCGACTCGACTCCATACAATATTTCATCGACTTCGAGCTCTGCTTTTGAATAAAGGAATATATAAAATTGATCTAGGCTAGAGACTAGCCGAAATAGCTACTAGCTACTATAGTTGATATTTGAATTCCTTAGATCAGTGTTGTCCAAATTTTTGAGCCAGGACACACCTTAGGGGTAAGCCATGACTAATGTCATACACAGCATGCGACTTCCAATAATTTTCTATGGTACACCAGTGTTCCGCGGCACACAGTTTGGACAACACTGCTTTAGATGGTTAAAAAATACCGAATTTGATTTCGGAATATTAAATCTCTTTTGATTGCAATTTTTAAGCACTTTTTAAAACTAATCTATTCTGTACCACCGAAATTATGTTCACATCAAAAAAAGGTCAGAGTCAGAAAAAAAATTTCATCAGAAAATCGCGAATAAACTTCATTCCAGTTCACATATCCAAACTTCAGTTCTTTTATATCAGAAATAAAAATATTAAATGACACTCCATGACTACGAAGAAGAAATGCGATATTTTATAGGTACGAAAAAAAAGCTACTTGACAATAAAATGTCAACCTTTTATGAACAAAAACATGTTTCTTCTTACTCTTAGCAATGCAATGACTAATTGCAATGGTCCACCATGCACAACAATAGTGCTGATTGTTGTTGATACGAGTTCATTTCTGTTGGAGCTACTGCTGCGTGGCTTATTGTACAAATCTCTTTCATCGAATGGATCAATTTCCATTTTTAATTTCTTTTTTTTTCACACAATTAAACAAAAAAAAAAAACTTTTGGAAATTTCTGATTTTAGACACAAAACAAATGTTGCAAGACTTGTAGAAATGAACTTCTTATTTATCCTTTTTTGCTGCTGGTTCTGCTCACACACTCACTAATTTTTCATTCATTTAATTTCGCATTTGCTGACTTTAGACTTTTTTTTTGCTTGCTGTATTTTGCACACTTCACTTTCGATATCGAATACAGAAAACAAAAATACAAAAATAAATAATTCTTTAAGTGTCACACACGAGATGCGCGCAAGACTGATTCGCACTTTATAACACTTCTTTTATATAATAAGTGGATAAGTAAGACACACAAATAATTATTAAAACTACAAAAACCTTTTTTGATTAATTTCGTGTTAAAAAAAAGATTTAAATTTCTTTTAAATTTTTTGCTTCTTATTATTTTACACACAAAAAAAATTTAAAAGTCGAAAGTCACGACTAGTCGCGTTGTACTAGTTGACTGCAGCGATGACTACGTAAGACTGACTGCTTTCAACTTATGCGCAAATTATTTAGAAATAAAAAGATCTTTTCTTCTCACGAAACGATCGGCACTCAACCCGTTCAACAGATAGAAACCACATAAAATAACATACGTAAGTCGGATATACAATCACACATGAACAAAAAATTTCTACAGACATACGTCAAACAAGTGAGATTATGGAGAAAATGTTCAGCAGACACACATTTATATGGGCATGATGAGAGAATTGAGAAAGCGTGATCATGAAGTCTGGATATCAATGTATTGTGTTATGTCAGATCTTCTCATCGTAGTCGCTACGACACTAAAACATTTACTCAATGTTTACCGGCTTGTTGTAACGACAAAAATAAAGCAACAGGAAAACATTCACACTTTTATTAAAATAATTTGCAAACAAAGTAAAACGTGCGTTAATGTCTCACGTTGATGAACAACATTAAGCCTTAATTTATTTACGATCATCAAAATGCAATTCATTAATGTGCCACAGATACATCACGCGAGATGACTTCCACAGTTATGAGATTAATGAATAATGTTGCGCTATCAATCAAAAATGTACTGACTTTTTTTTACATATATTAATGTCTTGTAATAATAATTCTACATGCACATCTTATTGCCTTTTCATATAAGATCACTTTCTTAAGATGTTGAGTGGCTGGAGAAGGAGGTTGTTTGGATGTGGACATGGGTTGGAAAAAAGCTGATCAATGTCATCTAAATCTGTGGAACTTCTCAAATGTGGCATAATATTATTTTGTTTGCATATGTTAAACAGAACTAATCGTTCTAAAATGCGAGATCATTAATGAATAGACCCCTAATGACTCATTACGATTTTATATGACTAGCCTGAGTACCATCTCCTAGTCACATCAAACTTTATTCATATTCAAAAGTATAGTCAACCAAATTACTATAATTTTAGGAGAGCATTCCTCACGTAGTTCTAGAGATCGGCATTTGTGCATCCATATTTTTTAATTACATCACCGAACCTTTGTGAAATTATCATGGACTCTTTTTACCTCGAAATATGCTTAATTTTAGTGAATTTATTTTTATTTTCTTTATAATACGTTAATTTTTTGAAAATAAACTCTTAGAAAAAAGTGGTGCCCCTTAAACTTATGTGCTGCTCGGGATACGTTCATATAGTCACCCGCCTTAAAAACAAGAACAGGGGCGTAGAAACAATATTCTTCTGCCAGGCCCTAATCAAAAATTTGTGTCTCGTTGTTTTATTTGAGTCTAGAAACCCCTTAAAAATTGTGACAACTTTTTGCAAGGGATTAAGGCATTTTTTCATGGTACCCGTATTCAAAGCCCAAGTTTGCCCTCCCCTGATATGCCACAGAACCAAGAAAACAGCACAAAATGTAATGTCAACATGATCCATGAAAATATTTTCCTTACTTGCCACTTAAATCGCTTTTTGACTTTTAAAATTTAGGTCAGCATAATTATTTCATTTAAAATAAAAGAAGAGAAGAAATGAAATAAATCGAATGTGTATGTAATGAAATGATATGACACTTAAAAGAGAAAATTAATTAAAATTCATGAAGCTGCAGTTAAAGGGAATTTTAAAATTGAAAATAATTTTTTTACCACTGAAAAAAGAAGGAAATGAAATGCTTGATTTTTGAAAGGAAAGGAAAAATTGATAAAATCGGCAGTTTCGTGAATTTTGGATGCTGCTGCATGTGATGTACTTTCTCATGCTATCATGCTGAGAATAAAATTAAAGATGAGCACAGATCTTAGTCAGTGAAGATGAATTGTCTATTAATTTATAGATTCAAAGCTTGTTCTGTATAGTTTTTAAAGAAATTGGTTCAAAATATTTTGAATACATGCTGTTTAACTTATTGCTCCTCAATTTGTTTATTATGTTTTGATTACAAACTTTATAGTGTTTTATTTACACATTAATTTGGACACTAGAGGTGTATCTATTAGAAATCATGTGTTATAATTTTTACTAAGTTTGTGGTTGAAGTTGTGATTTTTTGACAAGATAATAAATGAATTTTTAAAAAATTGAAAAAATGTGGAACTATTTTAGAGCAGTTATGGACAACCCGTGTGCCGCGGCACGATATTGAACAGTGAAAAAAATTGGAATATCCCATGAATCTTGTAATGTGTCCAGTTTTGGTTATGGCTTACCACCAAATGTTCCGTGGCACAAAATAAAGTTCTAGAAGTAGAAACTGTGGAAAGGAAAATTTATTTCCTTTTGTTTAATCTGTCGCCTTTAACTGGATCATATCTTAAATGAACACGAATAATATGTGAAAATATTCAAAATCAATGCCCCAAAAAATCTGAAAATCCAATAAAAATTAAAAATTTCAATTGATTCATTCATGCTGACAATCTCATCCATATTCCAATAAACACTATTTTTGTCACACAGAAAAAAACGTCTAAAACACTTAATAAGCAATTGAAAAATAAAACACAACAAAATTTTTGTTTGTAAAAAAGTTAAAAAAAAAAATCAAATTTATTAAGTGCGAAAACTCTTTTTATACAAAAACCAGCAGAGTTAAAATTAATGTTAAGCTCTTTTTTTTGTTGCTATAAAAAATAAATTATTTTTGTTATAGCTAATTACATTAATTTCACATATTTCATTTTATTATCTTAATTTAAATGCAACTTGACAAATTGTGATGCTAATTAAGTTTTTAAGGTGGAAATGAGATTAGTCTTTAGGCAGATAAATGCTTGAATTTATAGATTAGTGAATTTGAATTATTTTCACATCAATTAATTATTTTTCCAAACTCAAAAGAGTTAAAAGAAGAAAGATGATTTTTTTAAAGATATATTTGAAATTGAATTTGAGGGGGGGGGGGGGGGGGCAGACATGCAGAATTAAGGCAAGCTATAAACTTATTTTTTGTCAAAACATTTTTGTTAATTACACACAGTTAAAAGATTTATTAGACACACAATATAAACAAGAATCAAGTGCTGCGTTTAGGACAACAAACTTTTTCGTCTTGTCACTAATTAGCAGCAACAAAGCTTAAGTAGAAAATTTTATAATTTTGTCAAATTACAGCATTAAAAAACACATAAAATCTAATTAAGTCCTAAAGAAATTGTTTTTCAAAGACAAGTCCGAAGAACTTGCTTTGTGATAATGTTCTGATAGTAATAACTTAATCCAGACATGTCTGTCAAGTTGTTATTGTCATCGCTCACCTTTGGTGACTCGCTTTCAAGATTGTCATCGTCTTGACTTGGCGTTGATGTTGGTGATTCAAAAATTGTATAAATTTTCTTATCAGCACTGCTTAATATTGGCGGTAATGTATACTCTTCGTGCGGACTTGATATTTTTGGCGGTAAACTTGGCGATGAGCTACTTTCACTTTCATTGTCATTTTTAAGCTTAATTGCACTATCTGATGAGTCATTATGATCATTAAATAGTGATGATGGAACTGGCGAGCGGAAGCTTGTCTCTGAATTATCAAATGATCCATTACCAGACGAGGAAGTAATTGTAAGCTCTTTAATGTTTGGCTGATCTGGATCCGATGAGTCTAAGTCGACTGAACTCCTTTCAGCCGTGTCTGTCCACCATGGTGAATGATCACGACATTCAGAAGCCGTATGATATGATGATGAACGAGATGTGGCATATTCTGATGCTGTTACAAATGATTCATCCTCTGTTGATGATTTCAGACTGTTGTTCCAATCCTAAAAAGATTTAAAAAATTATTTTCATCAATTTCTCGTATTACAGTTTACAGAAAAAATATTCAACTCACATCACTCGTGTTTGCTGATGAAGTCTTTCCATCAACACTCGACGTACTTGCAACCGGCAATGTCGCTGCTGTGCTGCTATTATTTTCAAATATATTTAAAGCATCCTGTGTCTCGTGGATGATTGCATCCAATGATTCGGCAACACGCGAGACCTCAATTAACTTTGCAGAGATAGAATCTGAAGCAATGCTGTTGTCCGTTGGCATTGCAATTATGTTCTCTTCACTCGACATACTACAATGAGGATAAAGAAGGAAATAAATTAAAAATTATAAACTGGAAATGTAGTGTGACTTAATTTTAATTAATAACTGTTTTTGCTATTTTTCTTTATCGACACTTTGATTAATGTTACAATGTATCATGTTCTGATTTATTTTTGTGTCGCGTGAGAAGATGAAGAAATTAGAAAAATTCACAAAATATCTTTGTAAATAGATTAATGATGAAATTATGGTGAATTTTTTGTGCTGCTTTGTTTGTTTCTTGATTAATTGAGATAATTTGAAAATTGGGGCGAATTTTCGGCAAATCAGTTTAATGATTATTGTGGATCACTTCTTTTGAAGTGTTGTGGGCAGTTCTTAAATGATGTTTGAGAAATTTTTAGGAATTATGTTGGACTTTAATTAATCTTCAAGCCTCTTTCATTGCTAAGTCGATTTCTAAGTCAACACGAAATGGTAAGTCCCCCCTCCCCCACCCAACAGCTAAGCCATTGATCCAAATCCTATCTATGTTCTATTGCAACTAAAATATCAAATAAGTGATCTCAATGGCTTATATGTTAAAATTGTACTTCTGCTGAGCAGTGGAAATTTCCATAAATTTTTTATCAACAAATAAAAATTCTACGCCTAGTTCAACATTGAAAAAAATTATAATCCAATACCAGACTGAACAAAAAATCCACTAAATCAAACACAAAATTAACAGCACAAGAACAAGAAGTTTCTCTCAAAATATTCTCAAGCTATTCCACATCCCGTTGTTAATCTCGTAAACCAATTCAAAAGAACACTTAAGACTAAACAGCAAGTAATTCCTTCTTATCTCATTTTACGGTCTTGAACCATAAAATTTTATCATCCAAAGATGTAGGTTAAGCTAGTTAATTATAGTCTGTAATATCATCATTAAAACACTCCATGTACATTTCTAATGCTATTAAAAGTGATTTTTAAGTCTTCGTCACGCATCATTGATATCATTTGAATTGGTTGGGGGTCGTTTTTCATGATTTCTATTATTTAGAATGAGGGGGGGGGGGGGGGGGGTAAGTCCGAAATACAAAATTCGGTTAATCGAATAGAAATCCGGGAACAAAACAAAGTGATTCTGACGTCTTATGACATTCTTATGTCCGAAATTACCGGTCATTCAATAGATTTTCAGAAATTGTTCTTTTCTTGACCCCCCCCCCCTCTCTCTGGACGTCATAAGTGAACGGCTTCGTGCTATTCGGGAAGTTTTGTGGGGGTCTCAAACCTCCATTTTTTGTAGACAACACTAATGAACGACCCCTCTCATTGTATCAATTTTTCCACAGCTTATTTGCAATTGAAGAAAATCAAAAGTCGCAGATAATAATTGATTAACTTTCTCTTATTTCTTGCTGCTACTTTTTGTTGTGCGTAAGTGGAATTTGAGAAGAGTTTGACAAGCATGTAGCCACAAATAATATAATAATGAAGAAGATCGTGTCTTAATCCTCACGACTTCTGTTGTAATCTTTATATTTTTGCTCAAAAATGTGTGTTAAGTGACGATTGAACACTCAACACCACCTACTTGTCGGAAGTACTTTTTAATTAGTTTTCTATTTTTAATGTGTGTCAAAAAAAAATCATTTAACTAGCTACACTGCCTTTATGTGCATAATTAGAGGCTTACTTTTTTATGCAATCAGATGATTTTTTTTTGTACGAAAATTTCACTCTTATTGTTGCTGTCAATAAATCTAAAACTGATTTTTAAAAATTTTTTGTATCTTTTTTTTCACAAGCTTCAATTTTTGTCAATTTGCCAAGATATCATCACATTTTTTGTGTGCTCTTAATACACTCTTAGTTTCACTTTTTGTCCCGCAGCAATCAAAATTATTTTTTTTGATCAATCTTCACTCTTTTGTACAGCACTAATAATTCATTAAGTATATCCACAAGAAGAAAATGATCAAGTTTCACTCAATTACGTAATGATAATACAATTTACCGGTGAGATTATTAATCCACAATATTCAAAAGTCACGACATTTCTCGTACGCGCTCGTTCTAAATCACGCGAACTGCCGAAAGACAAAGCCAATGTGAAACTAAATGAACGTTAGGGAATTTTTCCTTTCCTTTCATGAAAAAAATTTCAGACTGGAAGGAAGTGTGTGAGAATCTCTCAGAGAAATTTCATTAATAATTATATATTTAGAGACACAGACACTGCTCCGGCTGTTGTTTTTTTGTTGGACATCACAAAAAAAAATATTTTTGTTTTCTTCGTCGATCGTCGTTGTTGCTATTTTTTTCTCACAAAGTCACAAAGTGTCAAAAAAGAGCAACAAAATAATTTTTTTCGTGAGAAATTCAACAAAAAAATTCATTCGCGGAAGATCAATCAGTTCGTGAATCACACACGTGCTCTAGAAAAAATATTTCGACAAAACAGTTGCGCTTCGATGATTAATTCCATTAATTCAAATTAAGATTTACGATTAAAAATGCAAGCCAGACATATTCTTTGGTTAACAGGGGTGTAATTAGCATTTTTTAAGGGGGTACAGCTGTATTTTGAATTAATGGAGGGAATATGTGATATATTTCGGGAGTTTGTAAATTTTGAATTTTTTTTAAACATCCCAGAACAGCTTAAGGTCCCTCATGAGCCACCAAAATTTTAAAATTGATACTTTGACCCCAAAACTCTCTTTTCTTCCCTTTATACACAATTATCTAGAAAGTAGCCTCCCCATAAACAACCAGTACATCCCTAATAAGTGTCTAGCGAACAAGTCACAATAAATTCCCATACAAACCTTTCCAAATCGTTGTTCATTACAAATGGTTCTTTCAGTCGCGTTCTCAACAATCGTCCGAGTCTCACCATTCGACCAACTTCGACCAGGAGGCGTTCACGAACTGCTAAGTATTTCCTCAATTTTACAATTTTCCTCTCCCGCTCCTCAATGTCTTTAAGTTTAAGCACTGACGTCTTCAGTTGCTCCAATTTCGCACAATGCTCATCAACGCTTCGATAAAATACAGCAGATACACGCAAACGAGTCATTTGCTCTTGACTGACGGCATGCAAATTCTTCCATGTTTTCTTCAAATGATCAATTGTTCCAAGATTCTTATCGGAATTGAGTTTGCACGATTGACGGAGTGCAAATGCGGCATTTAATAGCTGTATGCCATAATTGAATGTACTCTGTGCGTGGGAAATGTGAGAAAGATTTCATAAGAACGGAATTAACATTTAAATGCATGCACAACGAACAAAAAAAAAATGTAAACATAATAAGAGGAAATTTAATGTTGTTTTTACTCACTTTTGCTGTTTCTTGAAATGCTTGATGTTCATCTTTCTGGTTTTGAATTTCAGACACATTACAGCCAACATGAGTGTGTGATTTCAACATGACTTTGAAGAGGCCTAGAAAAATGGGATTATGAATAGATTAGATGGGGGCTTAGTGTGAAATGATGTTTGAGACTGTTTTGGCTGTTGATTGATGATTATGAAACTTTGTTTTAGGGACACAGAAAATAATGCAACATGAATGTTGAATTTGATCGATGCTAGTTGTCTTTTGAGCTCTGGTTGACTCTATGGAATTCTACAAAGTACATCATGGAAGATTTCACTAGCTATAGGTCAAGAATGTGCTCAAAACTCAAACCCTAAACTCTTTTAAAACAACATTGAATTGACTGAACATAAAGAAGCATTTCATAGTGACATTACATCCAACCGACCCCCAAACATCATTAAATAAAATTTCATTTTCAAGGTTTTTTATGATGATCTTCTGTCTATCGTGACAGCCATTTAAAAAATCCGAGAGAGAAAAAAAAGTGCATTTTCATCGAAATAAATTCAGACTCACTTTCAACCCATTTGATTGCTGTCTCAGCATCTTTCTCACACGCATGAATATTTGTTATTTGCTCCAGCGTTAGCTTTTGAATGTCTAGACTATCACTAAAAATCTTAAATCGTGCTTTGGCCGCATCAAGTACTTCGCGTAAATTCGCAATATCTTCACTATAATCAACTTCAATGTCACGACCTAGTGCATCTTTGATTGGCATCGAGAGAATATCACTGAGCTTCTCACCTTCTTTAACGAGCTCTTTCTCGATATTTCCTGTAAGCATGAAAGTTTCTCTAATTATTGTTAAGGCAAGACAATAGGAATTAAGTACTTACCTAAACTAACTTGACTATCCTTAATTTTCTGTAATTTTACTTTCGCTAGCTCAAAATTGTCCATATTTTCATTTTGTGTTTGGAGCAATGACTCGAAGACATTACTAGTTCTTTGAAAATATTCAGCTACCAAACGATAAAATCGAACGGAAGTGATTAATAGATTTCGTCGACGCTCCAATCGTGTTGCAAAGCTACGACACACAAAATCCATGAAATCACGCTGCGACAAAAGATCTTTAAATGCAAAACTCTCTTTGCTTCCCGGAAAATTGTCAATTTTATAAAGCAATTCTCCATAATAGCCATATGTCTTCCAGCATTGAAATTCCAATATTTCATGATCGAGTCGTAACTTCTCAGTCGATTGCACATCATAACCGACTTTCAGTTGTCCATTTAGTAGCGATTCTGCTGTACTTAATATCCAATTTGTTACATACGATACACCTTCTTCAAGCTGCATTAATTCTTTTGCATCGTTCAAGCTCTTTTCCAATTCCGTCCAGGAAACAGTAACGGCCGTTTGCTCTGATTCAATTTCATTTAATTTATTCTTGATGGTCTCCTTAGCATCGTGTATGTCTTGCGATAAGAATGCTTCTCGACTTTGACAATCAACAATGTGACTAATTAACTTATTTCCTGGTAGATATAAATAATAGAAATAAATGGAAAATTATATGAAGAATGAGAGATGAAGCAGTAATAGATAAATGAGATAAATAGGCACAAGTAAAAATGTGAAGCGTGTTGTGCTTGTTTGTAATTCTTTTCTTCAATTATGTTTTCTTTACGGTTAAAAATTATTATTATTTTTTTTGTCTCTTCCATCCAGTAAATTTCTCGAAAACAATTTGAGGTGTACAATATAAACAGTAGATGATGAGATAATAATCGACGATAAGAGCAGTTGTGAAAGAAATTTAATTTAATAAAATTATGTGTTGTGTGAAATGTAATACAAACTTGTTACTGCATTTTGCAGAGTTGTGATTATGTTAAGCAAATGTTATTTGGCTTGGGGAGCTCAAAAGAAGTTCGATAGGAATTGATTTTCAGTTTAAGATTTTCGAGTTCATTAAAAGTTTTAACGAAAGTTACTCAAAGCAATTAAAAGGATCAGGAGCTAGATTTTCTAAGAGTTTATAGCTACCTTATTAGAGTCCTTGATCACTAGGTATTCAATGCTCACAAAAGTAATACAAACGTCTACTAAGGACGTAATTTAAAGGGACAGTATACACTGAGAGTCAAGTGCCTTGCTGGTCGAATAGGTAAGGCGCTTGGCTCAAATTTGGGATGGTAACTCGAAGGTCGTCGGTTCGAATCCAGCCATTTCCAAATTTGTTCTTTTTCAGAAGTTTAGATACTTCGACTGCTTAATGTACGAGATCAAGCCATAATTGGGCATTTTGGGCAACGTTGGATTAAGGAACGGATCAGGAACTTAAAGTGTAGCGGGAGAAATAGGAACGAGAGCTACAAGATTACCTTATAATTGAATATTGTCAGAACGGACCTGAAATGTATCACGTCACGCCCACAGAAGATTGAAACGAGAGCCTGAATTTAATCGAAAACCTAGATTTGAAGATTAGAAGCTTGATTCTACGTCACCCATAGTGATATGAAATGTATCACTAATCAATGTAAAAAGTAAAACATGTATAAATACTAATTCTTCCGGACGGTAACGTCGACAAATAAATAATAATAACTACTACAGTACACTTTTTGCTGCCACTAGACTATATAGTTACCAGAACTAATCCATAACATACAATCATCATCTCGCTAAGTCTTTTAAGTTAAGTATTCTCACTGGTGCCGCAAAAAGCTGAATAAGCATATGATTTTATGATTGGAGTAGGCAATACTCTTATGGTAAGCATCAGAAATAGTCACATAATAAGGTAAATCGAGCATCTAGCCATAACAAATTAAATCAACAACTCTGGATCCACATAATATGAATACTTTTTGGTGGAAACTGTTAATTTGTGGTCAGGTGTGAAAGTGGTTGAGAAAAAATTGCTATGTTTGTTGATTTCGTTAATTATTTTTTTAATTGTGATTTTTTTAAAGGTTGATTGTCAAAATTGTTCATAATTTTTTTTTCTTTAATTAATGAAATTCATGTCATGACGATTCATATCAACTGACAAAATAAATCAAAAATAACCCAAAATGCTATAAAGTATGTTAAGCACATCCACTTAACCTGATGAATGTGATTAGCATAATTAATTTTTTTATTCAAAACCGATTTAAATCAGTTCGCGTTTATTGAGGAATGGACAGAAACATAACCAAAGAATAAATATTAAGAAGAATTAATCCCTGAGGCATGTTTTGGATACGCAAACTCCACACATCAGTAGAATTATTGTGTAACATTTCTGTCAATATTTTTTTTCTAAAGAAAGTCGTGAATGATTTGAACTATTTCGCAGTAATTACAAGATATAGAATATTTAACGGCTTAATTTTGTTACATACGTGCTTTAATTACAGATGATTTATCAAAATATTTCTGACTATCTTCATTTATTATCTTATGTGTAACGATTCCATTATGAATGATATAATTAATGGAGATATTTGGATTATTATGGATGAGTTTTATAATTTTAAATTCTTGTGTGTTTTGCTCTACTTCTGTAAGTTGCAATTTAGATACTTGAACAGGACTACAAAGCTCAATAGACATAATAAGTGTCAATTTTGAAACTCTTGATTAGTCGTCAATTGACTCAGATAAGTAAATGTTAAAGCTAATCGTTGTCAACTTTGGGATTTAAAGAAACTTGAACTGCTTAATTTTCTTAAATTCAGTTAAAACATCTGACTAAGTATTGTTTAGCTCCTTCAGCCAACATAAGTTGAAAACATTTTAAAGATTCTAGTAGGATTCGAACAGACAGCCTTATAGAATAGTAAGTTTTTGAAAGCTATTCTTTTATTTAACAACTTGGCCACAGATGACTTAACTTCGCACTTATAGATTCTGACAGATTTGTCTACATAAGGTTCGATTCTCAAGGTTCTACACCACGTATTAGAAATCTTAATTCAATTCTTTGGATTAGTATAAAAATTTGCGATCAAAACTTCTAGTAAATAGATACCGTACGAAGGTAATTAAAAATATTAGTTGAATAATATTTTGTTCTTCTTTACAAAATACAGCATAAAAATTCTTTAACATCGAACAATGAAGATTTTTTCATAGCAACTAAATTCGAAAAAATTCTTATTATCATTTAATATTTCTATTGCCTGTATTAACCACAAATAGAACCACTAAGATCTCTCTTTAAAGACCAAATATTGTATACTCGATGTTTCGCATTAGAAAGAAAACTTAATGAAAAGTTGATGAAGATCATTAAAAAGCCACTAGAAGTATAATTCTTTCATTTCACATCTCTTTCATAAGAATAAGATCTAATAAATGAAATGTAATGAAAGAATTGAAAAGAAGCATGAGCTCACGTACCACAATGGCAAGTGTGTGCTCACATAATAGTGATGATTATTATATTTGATAATATTTGGATATAGCATGATTTGACAAACACTTTTAGTTTAAAATTGATTGAATGATTTTTATGGTCCAATGAAGAAGTGTTTGTGGAGTTCCAACGGTTTGTATTTGGTGTGTGATCTAAATTTTCTTGTCCCACAAAAACTTCTTTTTATGAGAAAATGACTAGATTCTCCAAAAAGTTATTCAAATGTTTACACTAGAAAGTTCGCAAAACTTGTGAATTTAATTTTCAACACTTTCGTTGGTCAATTTCCAAAAGCAAACAAATTGAATTATGAACATTATTAAAAATTAGAAACAATGAATTGGAAATGAAGAAAATCGCGAAATAAAATTCAATTTTATGGGTTAATAAAGTTTATGGCAACTTCCGAATAAAATTATTTTTAATTAATTGCTAGTAATTTATCACTTGACTGTAAGTTGTTGATTTAGGATTGTCAAAACATAACGGTTTGTTGTGACTTTGCTGTGTGGTCAGGCGAGATTTTTTGGGGTTAATTTCATGTAAAATCATCATTCAAATTTTGAATTATGAATTATTGACATTAAAGATGTTGGAGGTTCTGTCTTACAGCTGTAAGATGCCTTTACTAGATTGTTAAAGTGACATGAGAATTTTGTGAATTATTGACAACTTACTTTATGATCAGCAACTGGGTTTCTAGAGCTACGCTCAGGAATGTTTCCTAGTCAAAATAAGTCAGACCCAAAAAATATTGCTTTACATTTTTTTACTCAACGGTTAGAGTTTAGGTTCATTGAACATTAATAATTTTTTTTGCTCAATCTTCAATCTAAGTTAAACGATCTTGCATATAAACTCACAGCTGCTACTCCATATGTTAATCAATTCCAAGCAATCAGCTCAAAAACTTATTTTATCTTGCCAATTAGCAGTGCAATCTTTATGTATGCTCCTCTCAACCGGAACTCTTTGATCACTTTTATCTATATTCAATCATATTTAAAGAGTCCCGTCACACTAGCCTAAAAGTCATCATGTAATTTGCATAATGCAGCAACTGCTAATTATAACATTAACTTTTGATCTTAATTTTACAATTGAAGACATTCTTTTAATACCGTCGACATCTGACAGAATTTCCTTTCATTGACCCAAAAATAAATGTTGTTAAACAACAGAAGTGCCTCGTTTACCTGACCATTACTTTTCACACATTTCTTTTGAGTTGTTTTTTTTAATAATTTAATTTCTTGTGACCTCCCAAATATTTCAGATCAGCACAGACACGTTCACTCATTTAATTTTCTTGTTTACCAAAAATCATAATTGACCTTACCATTTTCTAAAATAAACTTTATATGCTTTTGGATATCAGCATATTTTGTGCTGCACATTTTCATCGTCTGCTCAATTTCAGATGATCGCATTGTGTTGATATTTGACAAATTTTCTTTCAATGCCTTTATCGATGTGATTGTTGAGTCGAAAAACTTTTTAAATTCATCAATTTGCTGTGTGAATAGAGAAGAATTGGATGTATGTGATGAAATAAGACAAATTATGATTGTTAGAGGAGAGAAAATTTGAAACTCGATACTTACAATTCGATTTCTAATCCACTCATCATGATTATAGTGTTGTAGACCACCAATTTCAATTGGCAATTCTGATAAATTAAAGAATTTATTCAGACGAGATTTTGATATAACTATCGGCTGTAATAAAAAAAGAAGGAAAATGAGAAAAATGTGAGACTAGAGTCATTAAGACTTGTTATAAAAATACTCATCAAATTCAATGGCATTTTAATAATAAATTGCTGAAAAAAAAGAGAAAAGTCGTGATGCATGTGGTTTAGATTTTCTATGCCTTGTTTCCCCATTCTTCTCCTTCTCATGTCTACATTTCTTTACACAAACTTCAAAACAGGTTTGCTTACTAACTTGTCTGCTTACAAAAAATACGTATCTTTTTTCTAATTTGCCTAAAAGCTCTTTCTTTTTTGATTTGTGTTCGCACTGACCGAGCTGTATATGTCAAGATGTTTACATGTTTTCGGCAATTGCTACATAGGCATGTAGGTAGCCGTGGAAGGGCCTAAGGAGGTCTCGATCTTTTTTCGAGATTATAATTTGTTTGAAAAAATGGAAATTGAAAAAAAAACATTAAATAATAAATTTTGAAGCAATTCTCCTCCTTTACACGGTCGGACCCCTTTAACCTTTCCTCCCCTCTTTTTCGGTCCAACTAATCCCTTGACTAATTTCTGGGTACCGGCAAGCAATGTTGGTTGTCGACATCGCTAATTTCTGACAATTTCAGCTGTTTCTTAAAGGTTGAACATGTCATCAGTCTCTCCAAAGCTAAAGCCTTTGATGCCTCAATTAACCATACACAGCTCGGTCACACTGAAGGAACCTGCTATCGTGCTATGTCTTACGAGATGTTATGTTATGCAGAAAATCTTTCATTCATTTTATATTTATTTTTTTTGTTTCTGCAAAGTTAGAAAGATTGAAAGAGAAATAGCACTTTTGTGCTTCATCTAACGGAATTCAACATTTTGCTTCTTCTTTCGGCCAGCATTCATAAAAACTTAAATTTCGCTTAATATTCTTGCGATTCTAATTTTGATAAACTCTTTTTATTTTATGTTAAAATTTTTGAATCAATTATTTGAATGAGTTTTAAAGATCGAGATTATGATGATGAAAGCATTGCTGTAAATTATAATAATAATTTTGATCAGCATAAGGAAATGAAGTCAATTAAAAAGTGAAGAAGATGTTTTTTTTTCAGTTTTCTTAATTTACTCAATTATTATTTTAGAGAATATTCATTGAATGCTCAAGTGTGGCAGGTTGAATGAGAGTCTTTAAAATATTTCAACTGAATTTTTGTGAGGAAGTAATTTAGTATCGTCAGTTGGATTATTTGCATAATTAGTTCTGTTCAATGAGAATTTTTGGAATATTTATAGGAAGCATTAAAATTAAGCGTTTTTAAATTCTTTTAAAGTTTTTTTTTGTTTTATAAAAAATCAGAATGGAAGCTTGATTGGAATTTATGCAGTTGATTCTAAACAAAGGTTTGCTTAAATTTCAGACAAATATTCATGAAATTTAAATAAATGTGATAAATTAATTTGTTTACTGAGTCACAGATCTTGAGACCTCTTAAATATTAGACCCCAAAAAGTGAACGACTTCTTTAAAACATTCAAGTTAATTCAAAATGCCAACTGATCATCAATAACCCATTCCTAAGTAGTCACATTCATAAAATCATTAGAAAATAATATTTTCATGATCTTTACAAGAAAAGAAGCATCAATATTTCCACATAAATACCACCGTATGCTTATTAACATTTTTTCAATTACATTTGCCATTCACGCCCTAAATTCTTCGCAATCAGCATTTAAAAATTGTTATGCAATTCCAAATCTTCCTCAAAAATCAAAGAAGCTATATGCAGTCTTGCCTCAAGAAAAAAATAGCTTTTCATATTTAATTAAACCGTGCTTAGTTTTCTGTCGGTTGGGAAAGGTCAAGTTCACAGAAATTTATTCATCCTGTCATCTCATTTGCTATTATAATAAAAATCTAATATGAACATAAAAGTCGGCAGTTAATATACGAAATGACGATAATTTAATATAAAAAAAAGAAGTGATTATTGTCGGGTCATAATGAAAATATTTTCTATATTATTGCTCATGATTAACGATCAACAAAGAGAAAATTCCAATCATACGTAAATTGTTAATTTAATTTGTAAATTCAATCGTGTGCCGCAATCACGCCAAGGACAAATGCCTCGAATGCACCCAGAGGTCAAAAAATATTTTTTTTTCTTTTCTCTCTTTTACATCCATAATTCCCATTCTTGATCTCGTTAAAAGAACGAAAATTGGCGATTTGTTGAATTTCTCTTTGCCTCATACTGCAATATGCAATTCACTTTCGAAATAAAATGCTGTTAAGCAGTGGAGAGATCGAGATGAATGTTGGAATAAGAAACGAACAAAAAAATAATAACAAAACAAAATGAGAAGAAAAATTTAATTTTTATCAGAAAAGTTTGGTGTAGGTTGACGATTTGTCTCACTTTTTTTTAATGCCGTCTTTCACTCTCGGTTGATTCAACAATTTCCTTATTTGTGGGTGAAAAGAATATTTTTTTGCAAATGGTCAGATATGGTTGTGGAGTGAGGGGAGCGTTTGTAAATGACGTCAATCTTGTAAGTATGTGTGACTGCCAAAAGCTAGTAATATTGTTAAGAGTATTAGATGCTTTGCGTCATTAGACATCTTAGTTCGTGGCGCTGTTATAACTCGCTTACCATGCGCTAGCTTCACTCCTGCAAGAAGCTTTCTTCACTCCTACAAGGAGCTTTATACTGCTATATACAAATTTTTATATGTCTTTGGACCCCTTAATCCCTTTTTAAAGGCTTCAGTCCCTTCAAGTTTTTCCAGTCTCAGTCAAATTTTATATAAAACCCTTAGAAAAGTTCAATATTTATCTATTAAAATTAAGCTATCCTAAGTTACTATAGAACCCAAAATTGAATTGCAGTGCCTCCAGCTGAAAGGCTGGGCCCTTCACACATTATTATTATAACCATAAAATCCAACTCAGACGTCATTTTCAAACGACCCCCAAGAAATAATTGATTAATAACATTATTCATTTTGCGGTTATTTTATTGTATTAATTTTTTTTGGTAACATTGTTATTGAAACAAATGAACCTTACGGAGAAGCAGCATAAATGGACAAATATGTGCGGAGCTTTATTCCATAAACATATTGTTTTACCACACAACCAATTTTTTATTTTTTATTCTCTTTTGTCAGCTATACAAATTTCACTTTTCATCAATTTTATTATTATAGATTGTTGACTCATTTTTTATAATTTATTTTTCCCTTTGAATTTGAGATTATAATATGACATAAGTTACTTTAAATAAGCTTCACACACAAGGAAATCAGCGATTTTTCATTGTTCACCGACTTATTTACCTCATAAATTATTAAATTTAAAATTATATAAATTTGTTTTCCAGCCCTTGTAGATGCAATAATCTTGGCTACTAGTTATGATCCGCTTTTGTCGGTTTTTTTTGGATTTATTTCGACCATAATCATCTTCGTTTAAATCGCTTCGTAATCATAACAATATCATTAATAACTAGGTTTATAAATAGAAGAAGAAATATCAAAAATGTAGAAATTCAGCCGCGTAATCGGCTTTAATTATTTGAAACATGATTCAAATGAATCAATTCAATGTCGATGAAGCAAGTCAAAAGAGATCAGAGTTGATGGGAACTATTTTTGTGGATTCTTGGAGTAATTTTGATTAGTATTGCATCACTTGATGTCTATATTAACTTAGACAAGAGAGTGTAAGTTTAAAAAGTCTAGTCAAAGCAAGTCAAGGCATATCCAGACACGTTTTTCTTTATCTAGGTAAATCTAGCCACTAGTGAAGACTAGAAAAAGAAGCTTTAATGTTATTTGAATCTAGACATTTTAATGTTTGAACCGAGACTACGTCTTGATTAACAAGACACATAAACTAGACTAAATCATAAAAATTGAGAAACCCAATTCTTCTCGCTTTTAGCAGAACGTCTAAAATGATAAAACTGACTTTTCCTGAACTCTTCTTTACAAGAACCTACCCAAGCCCCATTTCCTTTAACAATAACTCTTTAAACCCCTTTATATCTTCCTCTCTCACATGTAATTAATGCAACCGATCATACAATATGCGTGAAAATATTAAATTTAATGCATGACTTCAACGAAAAGTTGTCTCTCATGCAGATCAGAAATCTCTGTGGTTTAGAATAAAACAAGAGCAAGACACAGAAAATCGATACACTCATGCAGATTAAATTTCAAAATTTGTCTGCAACTGATTCTCACCTCGCCTTTTTTGTAGGATTTAGCACAATTTTGTACGGAAAATGCATCGCATCTTAGTGCATAAACTTTATTTAAATTCTCGTCTAGTTGCTGTGTAATTAGTTTAATTTGATCACGTGCCATCTTCCATGAGCATTTTTGTGCATCAACGATTGCTACTAAGCCATTTGATAATGATTGCTCGCTGAAAATAAATGGAAAGAATAATTGGATGTTAGTAATCAATCTTGTGGAAATTTAAATTTCTAATCATGCAAATGTTATGGAAGCATCGAAATTTCTTTGGATTGTAAATCCATCAGATTAAAAATCTTTGATTCTTAAGTGATTAAATTTTAACACTTTGTTGTGAGAATTGAACTGGAACATTTAAACAATTTGTTTCTTTCTTTATCCGATTATGTTACAGATGAATGTGCATTCTTCTTTAGTGTTTATTTATGATTCAGTGAATATTAAACCTCTTGATGCTTCCTTTGTTACTTTTTTCATTTTGGGATGGTTGGAAGAGGATCATGCATACATTGTTGAATTAATTTTTTGGAATAAGTAGAAGATTTTAAGAATAATTCCGAGTTGTATATTGTCGCAAAGTGGATTTATGGATTGGAGGGAGGGAAGAGATTCGGCTAGTTTATGTACAAACTCTTAATTGATTAGCTCACTGATTCTACGACTGACGCCGTATGACTCTATTGATGCGTACTGATAGTTTTCTTAGAGATTCTAGAGAAGTGATGTTCAAGAGGTCTAAGGCAGATTCTAAGGGAGCATTGAAAGGTTTCTAACGAAGGGGAGGGGAAGGGGTATCGAGTAGTATCGTAAGGGATCCAAAAAGATGAGTTTCATCGGTTAAAATGTTTTTAACCCTAAAAAGGAGCGCTAGTTATACTATTAATTTGAATATCCAGACCAAACAATGTCACAAAATGCAGAACAGCTACAAAGCCACTCAAAAATTATTCTCAAATCATAACGATATACATCTCGGGTTTTAGAACAGCTACAAAGCATGATTAATGATGTTTAAGATTTTGCAGCTTTTAAAACCAACAAAAAATCATACAAAAATTCCGCAGTAAAATCTCAAAATTTATGATCCAAATCAAGGTACTTTTCTCATCCATCCATAAACAATCGCTTCATTTTTATTAAAGATTAAAGATTACCACAAAAAAAATAAATAAGGAGGAGCAGTTACTCACCTTAGCGATTCAAGTAAATACTTTATTGATATTTCAATATATCTTTTAGTCCAAGGCTGCAGTTCACATGGCAATTGAAAGATGACGATTAAATTTGAATCGAGATCCAAGCCACCGGATAGGTAGACTGTCTGAGATTTGAGTGCATTGAGAACATCCGCTTCCATCTTTTTATTTTGTGATGAATATAAATTAAAATTTCACACTAGACAATTTTTTCTGTTCACTTGAAGACATAATTTGCTTCTTATTTTAGATTCAACATGTTTATCTTGCCTGTCACTATTCAAATAATTATTTTTTTTTCAATGCACAATTCTTTTTTGTGGCTTATTTTTTATTTCCTTTTCTGCCTATTTTTTTCAATAAAACTTTTTACTTTTATGCCTGACAATTGCACATTCCTTTGCCATGTGAGGTTTAACTACATATTCGCTCACTCGGAGCTTCTAGGCATATGGAAAAATTTTTTATTTTATTTACACACACTCGTCACATTCAGGCACATTCCATTTTTGAGGTCATATGTACAGCAACAAATCTGCTGGCTCTTTGGGCTTTCTCGCATATTTTTGTGTTGAGATTTTTTTATGCACTGCACCTTTTTGAGAAGAAAATAAAACAAAAATTATTATTTTTTCATGTCCATTGAATTGACATTGTTGGCATCTTGAGATGCCTCACGACTACCTTCATTTATTGAATTTACTTGACAATATTGCTGCACGTGATGTGTGACAAAATTGATCTACATTAAAGCATTAATTATAAAAAGTAGTTCACTTTTGGGGTCATTCACTTATGACGTAAATCATTAAGGGCTGAGATTTTTTGAAATATCCAAAAAAAATTCTGTGACAAATAGGAGACGGGAGTAGGGGAGGGTATCAAAAAATCAAATTTTTGATAGACGTCATATGTTAATAAACCCCTTAAATTCTCTTTTATTTCTGTGCTGCACTCATCGTGTGTTCAAGAAACTCGAAACTTATTTTGTTGTTTTTACTTTTGTTTACTTAAAGTCAAGGGAATGAAACCTGAGAACCAATCAAAAGTGAAACGTTTAAAGCCTTTAATGTGCAACTTTTTATTGTAAATCGTCTTTAAAATAGGCAATGTTAATGGAAGTAAGCATGTAGAGTTGTGTAAAGTATACAGGTAATTACACAGAAAGAAGATTATGATAACCGTGGAGAGTTATTTATAATAATAATTTATTGGAATTATTATTGAATATTATTGTGAAGACTTAAGAAGTAAACTTGATTAAGGAACTTTTAATTATTATTTGTTTTAAAATATATTATTCATTTTTTGCAATCGAGAAATATGCAACGTTAGTTTGAGTAATAGAGCAATGGTCAAGAGGTTTGGTAATTTGATATATCATTACACAAACCAAGCGCTTGGGTTCAAATCCAAATCAAAATTTACATTACAAATGTCAACTTATATTTAATGAAATTTTTGTTTTGTTTGGATTGCAAGGAAAGATTCGATTTGATAGATTTGTTTCCAAGTTGATACCTACACTTGCTGTTGAAAATGTGGACTTAAAAGCAGGCAATTTGAAATAAAATGTAAAAGTACTGACTTTCGAAAGGCAATTTTTTCAACTTTGCTTTTTTTGTAACGCATTGCAAAGGTAACACTTTGCTTGATCAAAGGTAAAATCTGATCAAAGGCAACTTTGTATCAACACTGATTAGTGTGCCTTACAAAAAAATTCTTAAATTTATATTTCTTAAAAAAATCTGCTTTCTATATTTTTACTTAAATTAATCTAAAATTACCATAAAGGGTCCAATTATGACATCCGAAATTAACCGTCATTTTTCAAAAAAGAACAATGCACTTCCAGGAATTTTTATTGTTCCTTTGCTGACCCCCCCCCCCCCCCTGAACGTCATAAGTGAACGGATCCTAAAGTGTTCGCAACCTCACAAAATGCCATATAAAAATAAGACATTACAAAACAAACAGGTGCATTTATTTCACCATATAAGTATCAACACTGATTATCAATCTAACAAATTGAGTTGGCCAAATAAAATTAATAAGGCTGTAATTTTCTACACCTTGATATACACACGAGACATTGTATATTCCATAATTGTCAGTTATTTCAGATGACTTGTAGAATTTTTGAAGTGAAACCTAAATTGCCGAAAGTGACTCGTTAAAAAATTGTGAATGTTAAGTAAGTTTCATTGCCTTGACAAAAATCACTTGAGGTACTTAAATCTTTACTCCTTAATTTATTCAAACAGTTTTTTTTTGGTTTTGTTTCTGATAAATTAAAGAAACAAAGCGAGCACGTTTTTCTTGCTATGCTGGAGAGTAAGTTTGATGAACAAACAAAGCACGTACGTCCTTACAATTTCTTACGATACATAATATGCTCATGCTCTTTTGTATGCATAGAAAGTGTGGCTTTAATTTTTAAAATGGATTTTTCGATTAAAAATGCATCAAAACATATTAAAATGAAAAATTATGCGACCGACTTAATCCATAATGATGTGAATGAATGTGACACGAAATATCATGATAAAGGGCTTAATTATTGATAGAAAATGGAAGTGAAATTGTTGATTTGAATTTTTATTGCTTTAATTCTGGTGATAAAGATTGTTGAGTGATACAAGTTTGAGATTTTAAATAAAATTTTGAATAAATTTGCAATTTTTTATTATTTTTGAATTATTTAAAATTAGAAGAGAGGGGGTTGGGGTCTAGGTCAGTGGTGTCAAACATTTTTTATGGCATGGCACACTTGGTGATAAGACATTACCAAAACCGCACACAGTTCGGAAAATATCTCAATAATTTTTAAGGCAAACTAGTGTTCCGCGGCACATTGGTTACCCATTACTGGTCTAGGCTTTGCTCATGGTGTAAAGTGAACCATTTTTTTTTTGTTTTTTAAGAAAAATTTTAAATATCGGATTTTTTGTTTGGTTAATTTTGTACTTTGAGCAAAGCCGAGACTCTACAATTTGGAAATTAAAATAATTCAAAAAAAAAATAAAGTTACCCCTCCCCACTTCCTCCCCCTTATCATACAAAGTTTGAAATTTTAAAAATTCTTCATCTTCCTCAAGAAGGTCTTAAATTTTTCACTCTGCACCCCTGAGACACTTGCATTAAAAGCTTTAATTTATGCCATAAAAATTATTTAATGTAAGTTCTTTCAGCAAATCCCATAAAATTCGATCATTATTTTAATTTTTATATTTTAAAATTGACAGCCATTCCAATGAATATAAAGTGCATAGTCTCTGCACATTATTGAAATTACGATTATTGCATTTTTAATTTTTTTATAGATTCAGATTAAAACCAATATAATCAGAAAATTAATATTCATCTAGCATAGAAACTTTAAAGTGGATCTACCGCCATTAAGCAATCTGAATTATCTCATAAGATGAATATAACTTTCATTTATGGGCATTGATAGAGAATAAAAATTAAAATTTCCTCAAATCTCATTCATTAACTTGAGAAATCATATATTAAGTGATAAGTTTACGTGGGATAAGTTTGACAAAATGCTTCGCCACATGCTAATATAGGGAAAGATGATAAGTTATGTGATGAACAATAAAGAAAAGTATTATTGCTTCTGCGTGGGTCGTAATTAATCTCTTTAAGCCTAATTTAATGGATAGAGAATTTTTGTGGCTTTTATTGCGATTTTTGCGATTAGAATTAAGCAAATTTAATTAGGAATGGAACTATGAATTCGAGGGATTAAAGAATTCAAAGATTATATTGACATTGAAATAGCAAAATTAACTGAAAGCTGAATGATTTTGCTATAGCGTGCTGATTTAGAATGGAAGGAATAGAATGTTGAGTAAACTACAAGTCAAACTATGAGAATGTTCAAGTCCAGCTTATATTTGATACTCATTAGCTCTGAAATATTAATGTGCCTAGCCCTTACATGCATAGTGTTTACTTAAGAGTACTGAATTGCATTATTAAAATGTGTGGAACCGACAACAGCGTAAACAGGGATTTTTCAAAGGGGGGAATGAATATTTTTTGTACACCCCAAATTTTTTTGGGGGACTTTAGGATTTTTTTCTTTAATAATATTAGATAATTGATTAAATTCATCGTCAGTGACTCCAATTTATGAGTACCAATTCCACAACATTGCCTGTTTTCAATTAAAATCGATTTTGTTGATCAGTTTGACATTACAAGAACTTTACTGTTGTATAAACATTAGTTGAGGAAGCCAGCACTATAATTCAATGTTTTGGTCAAGCTTTGCTTCAAAAACAGGCAAATAAAAATGTCACATATTATGTCTACGACACATAAACCTCATAAATGTCTTAACTCTCCAATAAATACTTCAAAACGCCAGTTGGAATTCTATATCGTTAAAAATGTCACAGACAATCCTCAATTCCGCAGAACAATCAACACAAACATAAATTTCCAACCCATAATCACCCACTATCCACACTTCCGCAAATTAAAAACATAATAAGAGAAAATTTTCCTTACAAATCTACTTGTCAACTCTAGTCTCCATGTAAGCATTTCACATTAGACGTGAAGTAAGAAATAAAAATAAAAAAATTAAAATTTAAATTTTACGACAAGATTGAAATTTGCCATAGCCATACGTGAGTGTGTGCGATAGTTTCAAATCATTTAACATAATAAAAATAATGTGCAGTATAAGAATGTTCATATTGTAGACGCGATATTTTCTCGTAAGTAATGTATGTAGCAAAAAAAATCAAGGTGGGTTTTGCTCGATTTAAAAACAATAACAGCTAGCTTAGCGTCGTTCTTTCATGCTATAAAAAATATATTTATTTTTTTTCTGCCTTTGTGGTAGTTTGTGGCTGAGTGCCTTTCTCAATGCTAAATTCCAATCAAGTCAAATTGAATTAAAAGAGAGAAAAAAAATAAAATTTCTTTTGTTAATTAAGTCAATGCATTTTTATGTAAATTTAATACATGATGGCATAACAGCAATATGTAACAGCATAAAAATATTTCAATGGATTCACGTCCTCCTTCTTTTATGTCGTTTTTTTTATTTTTGTGTCTTCATCTTTGCCATCGACGATAAGATATGAATATAAAATTAATTTTAATCTCACTCTCTTAACGTTCTATTTCATTTTGAAGCTTG